TACAATATAGACAGACACAATAATTCCTCTGTAGAACTGTATCAGCAGCTCCTTGGGCAATTTGAGCTTCCTGAGTTGGCATAGAAAGAACATTCTTTTGATGATGTTTTTGATGTTAGATGTCCATTTTAAGTCTTGAGATATGATAGAACCTAGAAATTTGAAGGTCTCTACTGCTGATACTGTGTTGTCTATATTGTAAGAGGTGGTAGTATGGGAGGGTTTCTCCTAAAGTCTACCACCATTTCTATGGTTTTGAGTGTGCATCAGTGTGCTATTCTCTAGTTGTTCCTGCTATTTCTAGAAATGTGGTTGGACAACTACAAAGAGGGATTATCATCATCAATTTTCATTTAATGGGAACTTCCCTGAATTACGTGAATGCATTCACTGTCTCACATTATCTCCACCCAGTTTCAAATGCCTCAACTGGGATTCCATCCATTCCAGCAGCGTAACCATTTTCGCTACCTTTATTGCCACTCTTACTCCCTCAGATGCAGGCTCAGCATGCAAGGCCTGAGATCCAGTCTTTCAATGAGTGGTCTATTTCTGGGTTTCTCATCTTTGCAGTCACTTTTATAAATATCCCATTGGCCTTGTGTTTGTTGATTTAGTTATAAGAGAATGGCAAGGGTGTGGTGTTTTTGTGCAGCTTCTTCCAGTTCCAGAGCCCTGGTGCTCCAGTCTCTTGCTCTGGCTTTAATTGACGCCAAACTTCAGATCTGAGCTGCCCGTATCATGTATTGTCTGCCAACTTGACCTATGTTGGTCTACCGATTCTAGGCATTCATCCAAGTTCCATACTTATGTTTGGTGTCAAATAGTCAGGCACATGCTTTTGGCATATATGTAGATAGTTTCAGAGACTTGTTTTTCTTCCAAGTCCACATCATCAGACAATGTCAGAGTAGAAAACCAGTTTGCTAATGTTGTTTAAAATTCTTTTTAATCCCAGTTCAGCCAGTTTTGACCAGTACTGCTCTGCTGACAAAACATCTGTCATTTTACATGTTGGAGTTTAATTGGAATTTTTGCCCCCAGTAAGTAATGGTGAGAGCCACAATCATTACTTTGCACCACATGTCCAAATTGAAAGATAAGAAGTGTATGCTTCCAGTTTGATTAATATTAATGCCATTTAATAACAGAAAAGGGAAATACTACACTACCTCCATCAATAAGCACAATATCTATTAGAGCAATTATATCATTGGCAGATAAAATTACTCTCGTTTGGTGGACTTCCTGTTTTCCATTCACTATTTTAAGTGACTGGGTAGTAAGACCAATCAAGAATTAGCAAAATAAATCACCATCTATCTTCTTTCTTAAAGCAACTTTTTGAATACTTACATCTTTCACCACATACTTGTGTAGATTTTCAACTGTCTTCTCCTTAAGTGAGCCCTGAAACAACAGGGGGAAAAATCTTACATGACAGCAGAAGCAATGATCTAATAGGTATCTTACTTGGGTTTCATATTAATATAATCTTCCATGCTGTCATCATGCAGGAAGATGTGCAAGTGACACTAAAGACAGAAAGTTCTTTGCAGAGTTTCATATGTCAAGAGATTAGTCTTGATGATTTCATGGTAGAATTGGACAATTCTAAGGGTAATTTATGACATAAGAATGAAATATGAGTCAAAGTGCCATTCAGATGATGGCACATACTAATTTCTGTTCTAAAACTGAATAGTCTGAAACCATTTGATAGTTTAAAGCTACTGTGTTTCCCCGAAAATACGACAGGGTGTTATATTTTTTTGACCCACGAAATATGGTCTTGGGCTTATTAAAGGGGAGCAGCGTTCCCTCTAAGCTACGCGTGTGAGCGGCCGCGCAGGTAACAAAGAAACACCGCGCACAAGTTTCAAAGTGCAGCGCAGTGTTTTTTAATGTCTTTAAATGTGACTGAAAATATCCCCCTTTCCCTCTCTTCTGAACTCTGATTTCTGATTGGTGAAATCAAGAAAGACTCTGCCCAGAGACCGATGACACTGCAGAAGGGAGAATTCCCATTGGTCCTCTGGGGCTTC